ACATTTATAAATTTTTTTATATACTTTATAAATTGTTTATATACTTTATAAATTGTTTTATAAGCCTTTATAGATGGGCTTATAGACTCTTACAAATAATTTTTAAACCTTTATAAAAGGTTTATAAAATTTATAAAAAAATTGATAAAAGTTTATAAATAATTTATAAACTCTTATTAATTATTTATATATCCTTATAAAAATTATTTTACAAACTCTTACAAATTGTTTTTATAAGTCTTTATAAATTGTTATAGCCTCTTATAAATGATTCAAGAGACTTTCTAAGTGATTCATAAACCAATAAACCTTGTAAATTGTATGCATACCCCTTATTTATAATTTTTCATAACGTTTTTATTAATGGTTTATATATTTTATTAATTGTTTTATAAATATTTATAAATGGTTTAAAGACTCTTACAAATATTTTAATTAGATTTTTTTGTATTGTTAAGCTAATAGTAGAAACACTTCGGTTTAATAGAGTATATTTAATTTTTCTTTAAGAGATCGGTTTTGGTTTAATGGATTAGATGTTTGGTTTAATTTAAGTTGCATGATTGTATTTACTATGTAGCGTCAAATTATATACTGAAATGGTCCATCGTAGTTAACACAATGACAATTTTTTAAGTAGATAAAATTTAGGATTCTATTTTAATAGAATAGATAAAATGAACTGTAAAATAATGATGTTCTTAAATAATCAAAGAAATGGTGGAAAGTTGGTTAATTTGGTGATTTATAAACTCTTATAAATAGATTTATAAACCTTGTAAATTATTTATAAAACATTTATAAATATATGTATAAACTCTTATAAATAGCGTATAAGTTCTAGCAAATAGTTTTATACACCCTTTTAAATGGTTTTATAAACCCTTATAAATAGTTATATAAATATTTTTAAGGTTTTATAAACTTTTTTTATAAACCCTATATAAACTCTTCAAAACCTTTTATAAACCCTAACAAATCTTATATAAACTTTTAATAAACTTATTTAAACCCTTTATAAACCCTTATAAATTCTATATAAAATCTTTATAAGCACATGTAAGTGATTTTGTAAACCCTTTTAAATTCTTATAAACCATTATAAACATTTTTAACATGTTGTGATGACTTGAAAACAAAACTTATGGGAGCTACAAAGCAGGTTATTTGAATTGCTTGTCAATGGTCTTCCAACTCGAGCTGAGATCACATNTTGCGAGAAGTGAGAAGAAAGATGGTGGACATAGCAACCAAGAAGATACCAGGGTGTAGTTTGATTCTAGTAAACGGTGGTGCTCATGAGTTTGTTTGTGGAGAAAAGTCACATCTTCAATCAGAAGAGATTTACATGAAACTAAAAGAGTTAGCTCAAGAGTCAACGTTTGCAGGGTACTTTCCTTCTGAATTATTGTTCGAGGCTGGGTAAGATTATAGAGAATCCTAAGATGATGAACATATATTCATGAATTTTCACTGCCAATGATGCTGCTAATGCTGTGGATAAGAGACAGTACATGGTTCAGTTAATACCTTCACTGGGACGCTGGATCATGTATGTGAAGCCTACAGGGGAGATTCATAAATTTATCTGTTTGCCGAGTCCCGGAAACAAAATGGGAGATCACCCCTAGGCCAGCCTTCGTGGACCAATCGCATGGCAATGTACAGTGTAGGCTTTGGGTAAAGTGCTGGAGACTCACCTGTACACACTGTGCATCGTTCTCTGACTGGATCCAAGTACTTGTGGTCTTCTACAGGAGCCTGAGACTTCTCTCACCTATAAGCTTCTGGAACTCAGAGCCAGACATACTTTCTTATCAAGACATTCAGAACATCTCCAACATGCTTTATATGATCCAATATGGTTTTGTAACTTAGTGGTGTATGGCACTTGAATAATCCCTTCACGTGTAATAAAAGTTTCCAACGAACAGAGCTTCTCAGAATACACATTCCAAATTAAAAAATGTGAGTACAACTTTGAATTGCAAAAAACTTCAAAGATTAAGCATGGAATTTGATAAGAATTAGGGAAATTTGTTATATCCTGAATCACGAACTTACAGTACAAAAGCAAAATAAACCAAGTACACAGTAAGGATCTCATAAATTTTACTGTAACATCCACAAATTCTCTTGTACATGTGTTGCTTCATGTACTTCTTCTCAACTCTCAACCTTTTCATGTCCTTTGCAACCTAGCCTGTAGCCTTGTAGACGGGTTTATGAGTACAGGCGACCCTTAAACAGTGTAGCTTCGAGCTCTCTATGCTGTCTGACGTAGCCGATGGTGGTTCGCTTGTGATAGAATTCACTGATGAGACAGATGAGCCACTGACTGTGGCTACCCTTGCAAACATTTCTTTTCAAGATTGGACCGTGATTGTTTTAGAAGTCTCTGAGCTCCAACAAAAAAACAAATTCAAAAAAGATGTAACAAAGACAAGAAACTGAGATGGTGTCTCAGAAGGTGAGTGACTTCCACTTTACAAACTTGGGACGTTTCAGCGAGCATCTCCTCTATGACTATACTTAGAAGCCATGGTCAAAACAGCCACATAATCCATCTGCAAAAAACACACACAAAGATAATACAGCAGCTTCTTCTAATGATAATACATCAACTTTTTATGTAAATAATTTGTACATGATATAGAATCATCAAACACTTGTTACAACATGAATGGCGCTCTGATCAAAAACAGAGAAGAATCAACCCAAAGCAGAGTACACAAGTTTTGCATAAGAAGCACAGCAAAAGACATTTACATTGGCATATAGTGAATCTAAGGCTTTGAAAGCTATCTCGAATTAACGGAGTCAACGGTCTCATTCTCTAATTCATCCCACTTCAACCGTACACGTGTCCTTGATAATCCCTCCTCAACCTTCCTTATCGCCTCTCCCTGTAGTCGTCGCCATCCTCTCCCCTTCCACCTCTGTATACTTCTGCAAATAAACCTTCAATGGCTCCACGTAATCCTCGAACCCTAACGTCGTCATCGCCCAAAGTAAATCGTCGCCGTTGATCGTCTTCCTCTTCTCCTTCTGACACTTATCCGACGCTTCTCCCGTGATGAAACTTATGAACTCCGACACGCACTCGAAGAATCGAATTGAAGAGAAGATTGATCAAGGGTAACATTGTCTTTTGATATTAATGAATGTGTGTATTTATGAAAATGTCTCTTGATTTGTGGTAAAATTGAATAATGGTATCAAACAAATGGTATTTGTGCAATTATCCCTTGTTTATTTACAAAATAAACTATTTCAATTTTTTTTTAAATTTGTTTTCATCTTATCTGTTTTAAATTAGATGTTCGATTATTTGAGATTTGTTTGTTGGTAATATTTTTTCAAACTAACTCAGCGGGTTTAAAAATTAAAAACCCAAACCAAAAACTAAAAATGAAAAGTAGAAACTTAAAAACTAAAAACCAAAATCCAAAATCTAAAAATAAAAACTGAAACTAAAAATTAATGAAAAACAATCATCACCACAAATTTTGGTGAACTGATTTTATATCAAAATATTATTTAAATTATGACAAAACCCAATTATATAAATTTTTAATCATAAAAATTTTCCGCGCTTTTAAGCGCGGGTCAAAATCTAGTTAGAACTTAATCCGGACTTCCGTACAGTGTTTGAATTAATTTGTGTTCAACATAAGCTCATAAACTACTAATTCTATAAAAATTTATATATATTTTTATATTTTGTAATTTACATATAGAATATAATATATTATCTTATAATTAAATGTTTAATAACAATTTTTTTATTTGTACATAAATATTATATTAGAAATTTTATAACTTGAAGTAATTTGATATAATTGTACTATTCATATATTAACATATTGTTTTTTTGTTAGTTTATTTTAAAATGAAACAACCTACTAAAAATTATTTTTTTCATTAGTTTTCTACGAATTATAATTTATTTAATACTATTTTGTTTTTGTTTTTGAAAATTGAACTCTGGAAATTATTTTATTTGACTAAATTAAATAAGATAATACTATATTTTGAAAATATATACTATATATTTCAGTTTGTGTTTTTATTTTCACCACAAAGAAAGAAAAACTATTATAGCTAATTAATTTAAATTAATTTTAAATGTCATGGTAAAATCTGTAAACAGAAAAAATACAAAACAAAGTATTTAATTTATTTGTAAATGTAGTGGCCAAATGTACAAATAAAAAAAAATATTTAATCTTCTATCCATGTTTTCAAACAATTCTCATTTATCATGTTATCCTTACTTCCAAACAGTTTCAAAATGTATTTCAATTTTAATAATATAGATTTAAAAACACGATCGAATTGAACCTGATTTGATAAAAATAAATCCAAATCGGTTCAAACCCGACATAAATATTGAATAGATATTGTTCTACAATATTTTGGACTGTGAATTTTAACCAACTCAAATTCAAACTAAACTTGAATACAAACAAATATCTAAGTTGAAAGTTAAAAAATTTTTATTCTTTATAATGAATCATCATTTTATTAAGTTTTTATTAGTAGAAGTTATTTAAATTTGTCAAAGTTTGGAAATTAAAATGTGTACTTTCAAAATTCAAATGAGTAGTTGGGTAATCAAAATATGATGTAGCACCCAACCTAAGTTTAAAATGAGTTTAACCAGATTTGCAATTTGTTACTATATCCAAACCAAATCTAACATAATACGAACTGAATCAAAACCAAAATTTTAAAATATCATATAAAATCAAATTTCATATATTCGAATAACCAAAACCTGATTGAATTTGAATACCCAAATATCCAGACCTAATTGTTAAACTTGTACCCGGATGTTAGCAAGGGTGAATATGTCATAATGATGTCTCTAAACCAAATATGGTTATCAACTTATCAAATTGTTAGAATATGGTTTAATTAATTTAACCATATCAATAACTAGATTCCAGATAACTTATTAAATTAAAAAAAAAAAAAAAATTTAGCGAGACAAAAATCAAACCGTCCCTTTCCACTCATGTGTAGAGAGTTAATTGGGCTGTGAAGGAAGCAACAAAGATAAATCTCGCCCTTCCTCCATCCCTCTCTCTCTCTCTCTCGTCGCGTTTCCGTCTTCGGGCTATTCTCCGGCGGCCGATCCCGTCGCTTCCTATTAAAACCGTAGATCGAAACGAAGAAGTGGAGATTTGATTCCTCCTAGGGTTTGTCCCACCTTTGAGTCTCTAATTACTCTGTTTAATGCTTGAATCGTCCTCTGTATTGTCTAAAATTCGATGGTGTGATTGTATTAGCGTTTGTGTGTGAATTTAATTACTTTTTCAGATGTGATTTTTATTATTTCCGGTTTTGTTTATTAGGTTAGGAATCCAGACTCTCGTGTGATTACGATGGTTAACCCTAAGGCCTTGTCCTCATGTAGTTTTTGAACTTTTATTTAGCATTGATCTTTGTTTATAACTCAGTAATTGCATGTTTAATCCAATGTTTTTGTTTTTAGTTAATATTCTAATGTTTACTACTCTTATATGTGCAAAGTGTGTATCTTTACGCTTAGTTTTTGGATTTAGGAATGTAGATTTTTTTTTTATTGGAGTTTTTTAACTAATGTTTTTTGATATACGTAGGTGCATTTCGTTTTACTACTCTGCTAAAAAGGAAAAAATGTCGAATTACCAAGGGGAAGCTCCGGCTGAGTACATTGAAGACGTAGATGATGAGATGGAAGATGTGGGAGATGATATGGATGAGGAGTTTCGTGCTGATGATGATGATCTTGCTGCTTCTGATTCTGATGTCGAGGAATTTGACTACTCTGTATGTTGCCTATCCTCCTTTATCATCTCTGTTTCAACTTCTTTAAAAAACAATTAAAATTAAAATTTTTTGTTCTATGTTTTTTTATGCAGAATAATAAAATAGCTGATACGTCGGCAGAACAAGCTCGGAAAGGGAAGGATATACAGGGGATTCCTTGGGACAGGCTTAGTATTTCTAGAGAGAAATACAGACAGACTAGACTAGAGCAGTATAAGAATTATGAAAATGTCCCTAATTCCGGGGAATCATCCGAGAAAGTAAAGACTTTTTAATTCTCTCATCCTCCATTTTCTTTTTCCTTAGCACAGTTACTTAATTCATCATTGTTTTTTGCATGGATTCAGGTTTGCAATGTCACACAGAAAGGGGGACATTTCTATGAGTTTTGGCGGAACTCAAGATCTATTAAATCTACTATACTTCATTTCCAGGTTTTCTTTTTAGTACTGAGAGTTCTTTAGCCTTTTTGTATTAGTTGTTTTTCTTGTTCTTAATACATATTGTGGTTGAAAACATTTATCTACTAATAAAATAGTTCCATCTGATCAACAAACTTTGTCTGTTTCATAGTTGAGGAATCTGGTGTGGGCAACTTCCAAGCACGACGTGTATCTTATGTCAAATTTCCTGCTGACACATTATTCTTCCCTAACGTCCGGAAAGAAGGAAGTTCTCAATGTTCGCGGTCATGTTGCACCATCTGAGGTTAGTTCTTGCCAGTAAGTTCCACATAGATGTTACTACATTATTATAATTTGATTCTGAATTGCTTTCTTTTCTTGTTTCGTGCATTTAGAAACATCCTGGAAGTTTGCTGGAAGGATTTACACAGACTCAAGTGAGTACACTTGCAGTAAAAGACGACTTTCTGGTTGCGGGTGGATTTCAAGGAGAACTTATTTGCAAGGCAAGTCTAAATTTATTGATTTAAGGATCACTAGCTACGGGCATTCTCATTGACGAGCTATATCTGTTTCCACTTTCGGCATTGGTTCAGCATCTTGATAGACCTGGCGTCAGCTTTTGCTCTCGTACGACTTATGATGATAATGCTATTACCAATGCTATTGAGATCTACAACAAACCCAGGTTTTTGCTCGACTTTTGCTGAAGGGTCGACAGAAAAGTGTTCGAGTCACTGCTTTTAACCTCGTTTGTCTTCTTGTTACAGTGGCGCCCTTCATTTTACTGCCTCGAATAATGACTGCGGAGTTAGAGATTTTGACATGGAGAGATACCAGCTTGTTAAGCATTTTCGTTTTCCTTGGCCAGTGAATGTAAAGTCCTTGTTTCTAAATCAAGTTTGGCCTCTAGACGAACTTCATGGATGCAACGTTCAATGAGAATTATGTAACATGTGAATTGGATCATCTAACATAATGGTTTTCTTTTGTTTCTCATTTGTTGGTACAGCATGCATCCTTGAGTCCCAATGGTAAATTACTGGCTATTGTCGGGGACAATCCGGAGGGCCTTATAGTAGACCCCAACACGGGAAAGGTACATGTTTGCGCGATCCTGGTCCCAAGTGTGTAAATTAGTCTCAAATGTTTGGTCACCACATACGGCACATGTGATTTATAATGGCCAAATGTTTGGAAATGTCCTCTACAGACGCTGGAAACACTTTCAGGACATGTGGACTATTCCTTTGCCTCGGCGTGGCATCCTGACGGAATCACTTTCTCAACTGGAAACCAGGACAAGACCTGCCGTGTATGGGATATCCGTAACCTATCCCAGTCCGTTGCTGTCTTAAAGGGTAACCTTGGAGCAATCCGGTCACTCCGCTACACATCCGATGGGAAATACATGGCCATGGCCGAACCAGCTGACTTTGTCCATGTCTATGACGTCTCAAAAGGGTATGAAACAGAGCAGGAAATCGACTTCTTTGGGGAGATCTCTGGAATATCGTTCAGCCCTGACACAGAAGCGCTCTTTATTGGTGTATGGGACCGCACTTACGGTAGCCTCCTTGAGTATCATCGGCGCAGAAACTATTCCTATCTTGATTCGTTTCTTTAAGCAAGGAGAGAAGTATACACAACCCGTTCAAGGAATAAAAGAGAGCTCATACAGCAACCGGTGAACACGACAGAAGCAAACCATAGATATAATGGATCTCTTAGTGTAAATGATGTGTTGTGCAACTAGTAGTTAGTTTCTTTTGTGTTCCGTTGCCGGGTGTGTTGTTTCCTTATGTCTGATCTTCTAAAGCTTCAATTCAGTTGTCTACAGAAAGAGCTGGTTATGTGGTGTACTTGATGCCGGTGCTGCAGCTAGACCATGATGCTAAGTCTGTTTGTGATCCGGCGATCATTATTGCTCTTCGTTTGGTGGCTTGTGAGTCTTTTCTTTTTTGATTCTTGTATTTGTGGTTGTTGTAGGAACTCGAGTGTTTTAAGGTCCTTTTGAGTTGGTTCTGAGTTTAGAATGTCGGTGACTAAACTATGATACCTCTTGTTCGTTATAATTTGATCATAACCTTAATAATAGTACGAGTTGTCGCTAACTCATTTATAGCAGTCATGAAATGAATGTGTATTTTGACACAGTTTCATATAGTATCTGTTGTGGATTCTTAATTGAAAATCTGAAGAAATCAAAAATGTTTGGCAACACAACATGAACAATGAGATCTAGAGACTGTTTTCAAGTTGGTATAACTAAACGTGAAGCAGGAGAGCATTGGAGGACCAATAACCGAAGTATGGAGACGAGCAAGATCAACTGTGTCAAGAAATAGAAACTGGACTTGCATGTTTTCCTCAAGATGTTTCCACGGTTTGGTTCAGGATCTTCTGTCAGAGAATGTATCTTGGTCGGTTGTTCTTTGAGTAGTTGTAGTGGTGAACTCAGAGATCTTGTGAGCACCAAGTGATGGATTTCAGCTTCGATCTTTCTCTGGAAAATGCCTTCAAGTTCAGATTCAATCTTTGAGTATTCAAGTTCTTGGATCCTGGCTTCCTTTGCGTCTAGATCAGCTCTGGCTTCCTCAAGTTTGTGTTGGAGATGTTTTATCTTCTGCTTCAAGATCAGTACCTGTGATCCTGATGATGTTGACTTCTCTTCACTAGTATTTTCACTTCTTGGCTTGTCTGATGAATTGACTTCATCGATGTTGGAATGTAGTGGTATGGATTCATTACCGAGCTCCTGAAAACTTTTAAGCTCTGCACATGATTAACTTGCATAGTTAGTTTAGATATATTATATAATAAGTGTTCTTTAGGACAATGCAACATTGGCAACTATGGTTTTGTGTGCAAACCTTGGCAGAGAGCATCATGCAGAGCTGCAAGACTTCTGATAGAATCTGCAATTTGATCCTTGTCTGCGCAGTAATGGTTGTTTTTCTTACAGCCATCATCTCCATTTTCATCTTCTTCCCCGTTTTGGTTTCTGCTATATGTTTGGACTTCCTTACTCTCTTCATTCTCTCCGTGAATCTTCGCAGCACTCGAGAACACAAAATCACTACTTCTCAAGTCAGAATCCATGCTTGAACAAGGCTTCTGGCTTGCATTCTTGATGGTATCTCTCCAGATCTTCCCTTGACTACCTGAAACAATCTTCCCTCCTCCTACTACTACATTCTTTGCAGCTACGGAGTTACCACTATGATCTTCACTCTTCTCAAAACCTTGGCCTACGTTAAACATAAAACCTGGATCGACACTAAACCCATTTGCTACACCAGGAAGAAGATGATGATGATTAGGCACCGCCATATTCACAGATCCAACAGAGCCTTCACTACTCTGCCTTGCTTCAACAGAAGACAAGTCCACATGTTTCAAAGGAGGATTCACCAAACCAGTCAACCCACGCTTCAGCAATTTACTACCATCATCATCACCAGGTGTAGTAACCTCCTCCTTCACAGGACCATCTCTTCTGATCCTTCTCCATTTCTTCAAACCAAAACCTTTTCTCGTCGGAGATTCAACCTTTAAACTATCAACACTGTTGGATCGTTGAGGTGATCCAATACCCTTCTCATCAGGCAATACTAGTAATCCATTTACACTCATCGTTTCTGCACTTTCAGACGATCTGTGATTCACAACCTTACAGCAATTAAAGACCTGATGCAATAGTGATATACAACTACGAACAAAACTCAATTTCACAATTCAACGATCATCTATCAGTTATCAAGAAACTCGCAACCAAAACAGAGAGAAGTGAATCGAATCAAACTGGATAAAGCGAAAGAACCGTACCACTATTTCAACAAGGTTGCTTCCCTTTGAGAGTTACACAGAAGAAGCTAAAAAGAAGTTTGAGAATCAATGGTCATGCGACGGAGAAAGCCGCCGACATTATTGAGGTTTGAGTATAAAATTATTACAGGAAGATCAATCATGGGGTCCACATGACATAAACCCACTGCGCACAGCTGGCCGACCGATCTGGATTAGAACATGTTGTCGGAATTGTATTGGTAAACGAATTTTATATTATGAGCCAAATGGGTTGGGCCCTTACGCCTATTAAATTAGTTTTTAGTAATTTTGCTTTATTGTAAAGTTTTTGGTGTTCACGAATCATGTGAATTAATTTCACCCGGCAAATGAGTAAAATCTAAAACGTTGACATCTCAAATTTGCTTTCTTACCATTTATAAAATGTCAATAGTTTTGGACAAAGTTTGTTTAAAAGAAACAAAAAAGTTTGTTCAGTTGTTATAATTTTTCCTCTAAAAACATTAATTTAGTTACATAATAATTAGTTTATAATGTTAATTTAATGTTGAAAATTCATTTCGATAAATTCATAAATAATGATGCTATGAGCAGGTTGAATTTAGAGATTGAAGATTATACAAATCTATCTGCTTATTTCATCGAAGATTATAGATAAATTACATAGGTGTTACGAAAGAAGAAGTTTAATGCGTTTTTAATTGAATAAGAACAAAATTACATAAGGTCTAGATGTACATACATTTCAACTTCATGTATATACTTATAAACCATTTACTATTTAAAAATCAATTTGACAAAAGTAAAAATAATGAAAAAAACAGGAAAATAAACCGTGCAAATGCATTTGATCGATCAAATGAACAGAATAATCGAAACTCTTTTGTTGCATTGTTTTGTTAAAATTAACTTAGGCTCCAGCGTAAGGGTTAACAGGTTTAGGTGTGTTTTTGACGAGACCACATTGGAGACTTGTCTCAGGCATGTTGTATTCATCTCTAAGTGATTTCTCTGGCGACAAGACACTCACGTAAAGCTGCTGTCCTAAGTAACGTCTCTCTGTGTTCTCAGATCGAATGTTCCACATTCCACAGTTATCAAATGTGAGCAAGATTGCTGCCCAACACTTTGGGTACACTTGGACTGTGTGTCTGCTCACTGCGTCAAGGAGGTTGTAGTTCTTTCTCTTCTCTGGCGTCCAAGTCCCTGGCTCAACACTTTATAAATAACAATTAGGTTAAAATAAGAACTTACTTGTCACGCAAGTTTAAAACAGAGTATTTGTTTGTTTGTTTGTTTCACTTACGCGACAGCGAAGAAAGAGTAACCATCCAAATGCCAAGACTGAACACTCTTCTCGTGATTCTCGAACACCACCTCGATGAAGGTACGGTGAGTGATGTTAAGAACATTTGGCTCGATCTTGACGTTCTTGATCTGTTCCGGGGTGGGGTTATCGGTGATAATATCGTACTTAAAGACCTTATCGGCAATACCAAAGTACTCAGCGAGCTTCAAAGGAGTCTCGGGCTCTGTGTGGGAGACACCGTTCAATGCGTACCTAAGCTTACCATCGATCTTGCTCTGAGTGTTCACGAGCTTGATTGTGCGTGTGATGTTGATCTTTCCATAATGGTAAGATCCCTGAGGGTTAGGTCTAGCTGCACTAGCGGTCAAGTTCCACCTGAAGGATCTGAACTGGTTCAACGACCAAGCCCATCCGACAGGACCAGCTGGAAGCGTTGAAGAGGCGGGTCCTTTACCTCCTTCGTAGCGGAGAAGTCCTGTTGTTGTAATAACCTTCTTCAAGAACCTAGAGGATGCAACCATGTAGTAATCTTTAGGTTCTTGATTAGCGGTAACGATGGTACCAAAGCACTGGCCAACGTGGACGTCAAGAGAGTCGTAATCGTTTTGAAGAACGTGGGATCCTTCCATCTCCACAAGCTTCATTTTATGATTCTGAATCCTGAAGTTGAGAGATGTCTTGAGACCCACGTTACAGATCCTAACCCTGTAGGTCTTTCCAGGTTTCAAGGTGAAGAGAGGTGCGTCGGATCCATCTCCTTTCCCGGCCTTTCCGTTGATGAGAATACCATCTGGACGACCAAGAGTACGACCACCGTCAAGGAATTTCTTTAACTGGGCGTGGCTTTTAGTGTACCAGTCACCGATGAGGACGGTGTAGTCATCTTCTGGATCAGCATAAGGGACTGGGATGAGGAGACGGCTGTTAACACGGAGGCCACCAAATGCACCAGCGGCACGGTGCATACCGGTGGTCGGGTAGTAGAAATAGCTTCCGATCTGATCCTTAGGCTGGAAATGGTAAGTGTAGTTGGTGCCGGGCATGATGGGACACATAGTTCCTTGAGTCCCATCTTGCCAGCAGTTTTTCCTGTGTTGGATCCCATTCCTAAAACACACAAGAAGAATATTATTAGATAAATTGTTTTAGACTTAACCGGATGAAACATTCGTCTTAGTCTTCAAATTTTTAAAATATATTATACATAGTCCGACAGTTTCTAAATGTAAGATCCGGTCCTGGCTGGATCTCTACACAGGTGAAATAAACAATATTTTGGTGACAATGATGGTTATTACCAAGTGAGGAGGAAGGGTTCGTCGAGGTTATTAAAGACATTGATGATGATATTGTTGTTGGAGGTAGAGTTGATGTTGGGACCAGGGAACTGGCCGTTGATTAGAATGACTTGTTGTGGAACGCCGAGAGGAGAAGCGGTACCATAGGTCACGTTCCATACGTGGTGGAAGTAAGGGTCTTCGGCTCGGACCACCACCGTTGCGGCTGCGGCCAAGTAGAGGCACACGGCCAAGAGTTTAACCCCTCCCATATACAAATTTTTATGGTTTTTCGTGGGGGTATTTAATTGTTTATTGTTATTTGATTATGCTTTGGGTTTTGAATTTCGAGTTGTGGAAATGTTTGAGGGCGTTTTTATAGGGCTTTGTAAGACGAATGTTTTCTCCTCCTTTTTCTGGTCTTCTTTGGGTCTCCTCCCATTTCGCTACTTTTTTGTCCATATTTGGGATATTAAAGTTTAACCTCTCCCTATTTTTGGTGTTCAATTTTTCTTAGTTTTTTTTTTCTTTCTATTTTTGGCTTTGGTTTCCATGTCTTTGGAACTTTACCTGTCTTGGATATTTTCTTAAAAAAAAAATATGAGAGAGACAATCTATTAGTCATATGATGAAGTTCAAAAATTATATAGACATATACAAATCATTCTAATCAACAGCCAGTTCCCTGTTCCATGACCTCCAATATTTTTATATAAAAAACCAAATAACTAGAGACTAGGTGATTTTCCCGTGCTCATGCACGGGTATAAATATTTTTAAATTAAATATATAATAATATTTGATTATTATTTACTTTTAATTTTAAATTAATTTATAATTTGTATGAATCATTTATATTAATAGTATTATATTACTTTACTTATACTGTAATTTTATATATGTTATATCTAGTCAATTTTGTTGTTTTACGGTTGGTTTAGTTATCATTTGGATAAATTGGATTGCATCTCTGAATTCAACTGTAATATTTTTAAAATATATTATTTTTTAGTTAGTTACTTATTTGCATATGGTGGATGTTGTCTTAGATATGTAAATATACTTTAGGAAAATTATGTAAAACTTAAGATATATTGTGCTTACAGTTAATTAAAAATTAACTAAAGTGTCTGATTCCAAAATACGTAAATTAATATAACGAAAATATTCTAAAGTCTCATGGATATATATAAATTTTACAAAAGAACTAAAATTGTAAGAGTTGGTTAGTATTTATTTTTATTTGTTAATATGTTTTGAGTTATCATATGATCAATAAAAGGTTACATGCATTTATAAATTCTAAATAACTTTGTGCTATAGATTTATTGAATGTAAACTGAAATTTATTTTAAATAATCTTAAATTGAGAATTCAGATTTGATTTGATATTTTGATTATGGTTATATTTAGTTTCACAAACATAAAACATAAAATTTAAAACAATTAATATTAAGAAAATAAATAATTTTAGTAATGATAAAATATCATATATCTAGCTCATTAGAACAATTATTTTGATCAAACGATGTTTATTGTTAAATTTATTTTTAGTTTTTAATATCTCTTAAAAATAAGCACTACACAAAATTGTGATTGTATTTGAAAATAATATTATATAAGTAAAATATAAGTTTTAGATAATTTTTTGTAATTGAAAGATATTATAGTCAACTAAATATATGAAAAATAAATAAAAATTCAGTAATACTAATTATAAACTATTTTATTACTCTAAAAGTATATTTTATGTTATTTAAAAATATTTTTAAATGTATTATTACTATTTTGTGAACTTTCTTTTTTATGAAATTATATTATATATACATATTTTTCATGTTATTTAAAAATATTTTTAAATGTATTATTACTATTTTGTCAACTTTCCTTTTTTATGAAATCATATTATATATACATATATTTTCGTTTTAAATTTGTTTTTTATGACTTTATAAAAAAATGTCTTTTTATTACATATCTTTTTGGAAATTTTTGAAAAGGAAAAACTAAAAATAAAAGAATTAATAATACTATTTTCAACTATTTTTAATTCATTAAGGATATCAATGTAATCAACCATCGTGAGAATGAACGTGAGAGCGACACATAGGAAACTTACTTCTCAAATAATATTATAGAGATATCTTATATTACATGCAAGTTAATGATGATGACTAGTCTGAATAAAAGTTACACATGCTAAAATGATAAATTTATAAAGTATTATTATTTTTAGCCATTTATAAAGTATTATTATTTTTAGCCAGTAATAGTTTTTTGTCTTTTTGAGAAAAAAATTCTATTAAAATGCAAGGTAACTATTACAAGACTATAATTTTAAAAATTCATACTGTTTGAAAAAGTAGTTTGAGAGAAATATAAACAAGCACTTGAACTTAAAGGAGGACACTAAAAGCTAAAGAGGAAATAACAGGAGCTAGACAAATAGATCGGTAGCGATATCTAGTTAGATTGACCACGTTCGCCATTGACTACCTAGGAAACATGATAGATATTTCTATTTAGTTTTTTGAGAAAATAATTTTTTTAGGCCAAATAGTGTCTCTTTAGACTAATCTCTAGTACTTTATATTCCATTAGGCTAAATATTTT